CTAACTTACTCCCTTGAAGACCCGACTCCAGTACTCCCCTTTCTAGTTCATCCTTATCCAAGTTCAATAGAGAGGGTTGAGTTTTTCCATTTAAATCCCGAGAGCCCTGAGAGATTGTGTTGACTTCCTCAGCTTGAGATAGAAGGAGCTGTCCAGCATTTGCAGCGCCTCCTGTACTTCTTTCTTCCTTGGAATAGTCTGCAACAGTCCCCTCTTTTTCTAAGAACAGAACCTCTGTATTCAAGCTTCCTGTTTCTATCAAGGTTTGTCTTGTGCACGGATCGAGACTACCCAGACTCGAGGCTCCATCTGACTCAAAGTCCTCATAACTACTGCTTTCTTCTCCAGGCCAAACACCAGCTTCTAGCCTTTCTAACACAGACCGCTTGATGCTTCTTGGATTCCGCCTCTCAGGCGACAGCCGATTCAGGTTCTTCGCTGGGATCCACCGCAGGGAGCAACTTGAGTGTTGACTCTGCCCTCCCTTTCGAGAACAAGCAGAAGAACTCGAGGAGGAAGATGATAGACGGTTAACATCGTCTATCAGAGGTTCCCTCCCACTGTTCACGTGCTACATTAAGTGATCATGTGACCTCCCTGTCATGTGGACTTAAGTAACCATGTGACCTCCCTGTGGTCACGTGTGGACTTAAAGTGACCATGTGACCTCCCTGTGGACTTAAGCGATCATGTGACCTTGGCTTCTTAGAAATGGGCTCAAAACTGGGCCCAACTGAATAAGATTTTCTCTCCCTTGGCCCAGGAGAAATAAGAGGGTCCACAGGCTCAGCATTCTTGTCCGACCCCACCTGAATATTAGGCCCACCATTTCGACCCACCCCCAGTTCACCCAGTTTCTTTGTTGGCCCAAATGCTGGCTTCTTAAAACTTGCCTCTTCTTTATTCCCCTCCCCAACCTTAAAACTTTTCATGGCATTGTTCCCAACCACCTGTAAAAAAGACCTGCTGCATGTCAGAGGGGTTACTTGTGTAAGCCTCTGACTTTCCAAAAAACCCTTGTTTTTATGACTCCCCAAAAGCAGTTGGCCCATTTTAGTGTATGACCCAGATATTTTTGAGACTTCCAATCTGCTTCCTCCACCTGTTCTCCTCCCTCCATTCTTGCTTCCTCCTTCCACAAGCTTGCTTCAATGGAGGAAGCCAACCAGACTGACACGAAAACTCCCTCCACTCTAATCTCCACCTTTCTTGGTATATTTTCAGGCTTCACTCCATTGAGAAGAATAGCCGCAGAGTGGAGGTCCCCCCAGTAAGCACCATCCGATCTCCCTTCACACATCACTGCAATGACCTCTGCAACTTCTTGCCTCCACAGATGGAATGGCAATCCTATTATCTTTATCAGACCCCATCTTCAATCGAGAAGTTCTTGGCATTAGAGAGGGGATTCCATTTGAATGCTGTGACGGTCCCCAGATCAGTCTGGAAGTTGACAGCCGAGATGTCTACTCTGTTCTCCCCAAAATCAACTACAGCTTTACATTTWTCAAAGGGAGTCACAATAAACTCATGCTTCAGTTTCAGGTTCAATATTAAATAATCTGCAACTCTCCTCCATTCAACATTCTTCGTTCCTGCCTCTACTATAAATTTGTTCTCCCACTCTTCCTTCTTCGAGTAATCCAAAACCCTGCATTGACTATTGGCTTTTGCTAAGATTACAGATCCTTTCTCCATGCTTCCAGTTAAGGTATCTCTCTCAACCACCCCATCTTCTTTTCCTGAACTCTCCTTTGTTCTTGTTACTCCACGGAGCAAAAATTCCTGAAGCACCTTACTCACATCCCTCCACCCCTAGTTTTGTTTTCCTGCTGGGAGACAAACCAGCTGTTTCTTTCCTCCACCGAAGAACTCAGCCAGAGCTATGTAGCACCCTTTCACATTCTTTCTGCTTTCAACAGTATATTTCTTACCTTCATCAACTGCAAGCTCTTGACTGTTATTTTGCTTACCTTTCAAACTAGCCCCTTCCACAAACTTCTGCAACCATTCCACTACTTTTGTTCCAGACAACAGAACCATAGCCCTCCTTGCTTCCCTTATCTTCAGACTCAGCTTTCCTCAAACAGGAAAACCTTAGCTTCAACCTTCAGATTTCTTCTCCATCTTCCTGCCTCCACGAACCTTTTCTCCATTCCCAACCTCTTCTCCATTCCCAAGGCCAGAGGAATATTGCCATTTATTTTTTCTTTCCTTCTATGTCTATTTGTGTATTTTGTGTGGTCTTCCTTTCTTCATTTATTTTTCTTTTTTCTTCTTTCTTATTTTTTAGAGTTTGGGACTGTTACTTCTGGAATATTTTAATTAGCAATTTAATTAATGCAATCCACAAATACCAGAATTAGCATGGACAGAAATCTTTAACCAGTGTTACATGTGGTATTCATAATCACAATGGCATATGCCAATTTGGAGCAAAATCAAAGACACCGTTTTTGGAACAAACAACGCATGGAACTGTCATCTAACAAAAACCAAAAGAAATAAACAAATTACAAATAGACACCAGCCTAAGGCCTCTTGTAACAAGAGTCTCTCTATCAATACCTTCTCTTGTGAGACAATTAGTATCACCATTGGCTGATCTTGGAATTCAGTTGAATGAGCTAATTGTTCTGGAAGCCAAAGTTCCAACTTCTCTTCCAAAATGCCAATGTCCACAGGTGACTGTGTAGATTTATTTGTGTATCAGAAAAAAAGATGATAGAAAATGCATATACATCTATATGCATATATTAGAAAAACAGCAGTACAACCATTATCTCCACCCTATAGCTTCCTACCACAGAATCACCCTTCCAGTGTCTTCACCATTGGCAAGTGATTTTACCTCAGTACAATGGCAGAATATGAAAAAAAAAAGTGATCATTGTTCTTCAAATTTGGTCTTATGGGAGCACATATTGGAAGGTAAATTAAAAAGTTGGTTCCATTTTATGAGTTCAGATATGCTGGCAACATCCTGTGCACAGGACATTACAACTGCACATTGGGAACATCTCCCCATGAATGACAACAAAAAATATAAGAGATGTTCCCGATATGCATCTGTAATATATATATATATATATATATAAATAGAGAGAGAGAGAGAGATGAATCTTCAAGGATGTATTGATGGAAAAAATAATAAAAACTGCAAATTTTCCCTGAAATAGGATTTTAATTTGGCTTGTTGAAACACTTGATTTATAATGTGATTATGATTCATATGACATAGTGCATGTGTTGGTTGGCATTTGATTATCACTGTTATGCACTGGCTGAAATTGCTACATCAACCTCTTTCTCTAAATTATAATGTGATTTTTTGGTTTAATGCTATCCATGATGTTTCTACAGGGCTTAGCAAACGTACAACTTCTGAGGGACTTAGGGAAGCCTTTTCAAAATTTGGGGAAGTGGTCCATGGTATGTTATAGGGGTGAGCAAATGGGTAGGTTCTACCTGGAACCAAATGGAATCGACCTCGAACCGGCCTTGAACTGACACTACCCGATCTGTTACAGGGTAGCGTCTGGTTCCATCTTGGAACCGACCCCCATGGTCTAGGGGTTTACCCTACTCGAACTGACCCGATGAACCAAATTTGCCTTGAAATAAATCTCAATATATTTTTAAGGATGTGAAGATTTGAGCCCAAGCACTCATGGTTACAAAAGCCATGGTCTCACTTGACCATCGAGTTTCTAAAGTGATTTGATCATTTGTTTTTATTTTAATATTTGTATGTGTATAATAAATAATGTAAAAGGTAATATTTACAAAATTTAAATCATGACAAATTTTCAACCATATAGGCATACATTAATATATTATGATAATCTACGTATTAGATTACTCAATTTAATCAAGGGAAAACTCCTGATTAGTACCCTGTACTTTGGACCTAGTGCCATTTTGGTCCCCAAACTTAAAATGCGTCAATTCAGTACGAAATTTTCAAAACGTGTCAATTCAGTACCTACCGTTAACCAGCTGTTAAGTGGCATTTGAAAAAGACACAAATGCCCTTTGAGTGTCATCTAATTTTCTTTATCAACCATCCAAACATTGACAAAAAATTAACAGTCCTAAATCCTTGTCTCTTTTATTCAAGAAAGTTGGGGTCCAAAGTGCTCACTGAGACATGCCCCCAAAATTAGATGACATCCAAAGGGCATTTGTGTCTTTTTCAAAGGCATTTAACAGCTGGTTAACAGTAGGTACTGGATTGACACGTTTTGAAAGTTCCGGTACTGAATTATCGCATTTTAAAGTTTGAAGACCAAAGTGGCACTAGGCCCAAAGTACAGGGTACTAATCGGGAAATTTCCCTTTAATCAATAAAGATAATATAAGTTTTAAACTATGCATTATATATTATCATTATTGAAAATCAAGTTTTTGAAGGACATGTTTCATTTTTTTTCTTGAAAGGGGAGAGTAAAGAAAGAACAGGTTCCACAGGTAGACCCTGGAACCGCCAAGGCTAGAACTGACCTTCATAGGGTAGGTTCCGGCTCCAAAAATCTGGAACTGACCCCTACAGAGTAGGTTCCAGGTTCTGCCATGGAACTGAACCGAACCGACCCATGCTCACCCCTACTTTGTTATCCTTGAAACCATGGTGTTTCTTTTTGAGACTAATGGAAATTTCTTTGGTTAATTATTCAGCACTGAATCATTTCTGGTTTGCAGCCAAAGTTGTGACTGACCGTGTTTCGGGGTATTCCAAAGGTTTTGGTTTTGTACGATATGCCACTGTAGAACAGGCTGCTGAAGGTATAAAGGGCATGGATGGCAAGGTGAGCTTCTTTCGTTTATCTCATATGAAAAATAGGGAAATTGTTCTATCATCGAAAAAGATAAGAAAGTGTTCTGTGAAATGCCAGTGGCAAACTATTGACTTTCTTCTTCACCCTACAGATATGGTGAGACCCATGAAATGAATGACATGTTCAACCTTGTCTTGTAGGATCTTTTCATTGGGTCTCTTAATGTAGTACAGAATCCAATAGTTGGCACAGACTTGCTACTAGCACTTTTTTTTGATAACTTATGTACTAGCAATTACTCAATTGCTCTATACTGCTAAAAAAAACCTCAATTACTCTTGAATTTCAGTAGCTTTCATCCACAAATAAAAAAACCACCATCACCAAAAAGAAAACATATTAAAAAATCAAAAGATAAATAAAGAAAACAAAAAGAAAATGATATGACAAACTGAGATGCTAGAGCATCATCAGATTGTTCTCTTAGGAGTTGTTATTATAACTTGTTGCCCTGTTTGATCAAAACACAAAATAACTTATTGCTTTGTCTTTTAGTGAATAGAATACTAATGTTATAAAATACTTAGGGGGTGTAATAATGAACCCAACATGCCATTCAGCCATTAATGATCTCACAACCAACCAGTATTATCAATTCAGTAAGGCAATGGATTTTGGATTCTTTAGTTGATGCGCTGACTAGTTGGTGCCGACCATTCAACCAAAAAAAAAAGTTTGTAATCTCATAAATAAGTTAATATGGACTGCAAATATGCACTAAAGGATGGCTGGATGGTTGGATGGTAGGGAATTACAACCTTTGTTTTTCAAAGAATGAATGTGCAGCATTGATTATTTGATGTGTCTCTTATTTTTGGCAACTCTGTAGCCATGCATTATTGATTTGGAAGAAAACTTAAAGGGTAAAACATAAAAACCTCCCCTGGGTTTTCTGACAACCATATAAACCTCCCCTATGCTTTGATCTTGACAAAAACAACCTCCTTTGATGTTTGGAAAAAAGGTACAAATGCCTCCCTTTGGGAGGTTTTCCGGTAAAGGAGACATTGAAGTTACTAAAATGCCCTCTCCCTCTCCTTATTTATCAAAAAACAAAAAGCCCTCCTTGGAAAATTTGAATGTTAATCTGATGTGGATCCCGAGGGAGATGAATCATATTGCAGATGGATTAGCTAAATTTGGAGCAAACCTAGAAAATTTTTACAGCAACAAGCTTCTCCCCTTGTAATTCTGTATTTCTGCTGTTTTCTTTTTTAGTACATCTGCTCATGTACTCTGTCTCTTTCAATGAAATCTGTTTTAACTTTTCCTCAAAAAAAAAAAAAGCCCTCTCCTTTTTCTTTTTCTCCTGTAATTGAACCATTGAAACATCACCACTAGCTGCACCTGCTAATTCCTCCTCTCCCTCATCCTTTCTCTCCTCCTTTCCCCCTCTTTTCTTTCTATTTTCCCTCTGTTTTACTATTATCGAACCTGCTTCAAGCTTAATCTTAATGCTCAACGTTGCCTTCACCTTGAGCACTATTATTCTCATTAGATCTCACTTACATGGCCTAAATCAAACTTTGAACACCTGGAAAACTAAGAATAAGATAATACTTTTCTTTGCTTTTCCAATTTCTGTGATCAAGGGTCCTATTTCCATTCAGTCGGTCTAAATGACATCTAATGAAGTCATCAAGCTTTGCACAAGTTTCTATCAAATATGAATTTCCTTTAGAATATGCTTGACAATGGTAAAAGAACGTCCAACAATTTACTTCTCCAAGTAATCAAAAACAACAGAAGGTTTCTGAGAACCAATGTTTTTTCCTAGCTTTTCAAACCATGAAAAATCAAATCTTGAAGTATTTTGAGCTGTATCTTCCACTCTCCTTTCTCTCGCTCTCTATCTCTATCTGACCAGGGCGACCTGTAATTAGAATTGCAAACCAGTGGTATGACCTCTGATGAAAGCAAACTAATGTGATGAAGATTTTTAGGTCTAGGTTGGTCGGTGTGTTCTGGTGTTTAGTATATGTTTTTGGTTCATGTTCTGGGTCTCATTTGTGACTGCTGATTCTTTGTTGTCTGCTGGTAAAGCAACGATTAGTGGTAGGAATACCTTGGTTGTGATGGTTGGTCACCAATGATTAGTTTTGGATGGTCATTGATGACCACCGATGCCTGGGGTTTCTGATGAAAACCCTAATAGTCAAATACAAGGGAGGTTTATATGATTGCCAGAAATTTCAAGGGAGGTTTTATATTTTACCCAAACTTAAAAGAACTCTTCTACTATCTTCTTTTTATCTTGGGCCTTATCTTAATTGTATACACCATCAGCCAACCTTATGCCATCAGGCCCATCACAAATACTTAAAGCAACAACATGCATATAAGAAAATAAATTAATGTATATTATATTTCTTAATATATTATTTATATTATAAGAGCACATGAGGACATGTAAGCGGGTTATTTAAGGCATCTGCATCATAAATATTGATCACAACCAATTAGTGAAGCAGTCGGTCTGGCCCCGACTTGACTATGATTACTTGATGCTTTGACCTAGTCAGTGCTTACTGGTTTATTCACTCAAAGGCAAAGCAACAAATCATTTCAGTTCAGGCACTTTAACCTTTATTAAACGGCCCCTTAGCCTTGCAATTTTTTATTTTGATGCATATGCATAAAAATACTAGCTGGTAGCACATCCGATATATTTAACCAAACAAAAGAAAAGCGACAAAGTAGAAACAATTATTTTTTAATTGGATCATATAATAAAACTTGGCATAAGTTTGTTTCAGTGTCTTAATCATGTCCAGGTTGCGATGCCTCTATAAGGTATTGATCAGGTCAATTTTGATATTTGCTATGATTTCACTCCAATTGACTTTTATCTGATGTGTAAGACCACTGTGGGAGTGCATTTTATGTAATATTTTGTTAAGCAGAAGTCAGATTTTATAGAGATCTTTGTATCTTCATCATATTCCCCAGTTAGCTAGTGGGAGGGCATGGTTATTATGGGGCGCCTAGCCTAGGGTCTACAACCACAAAATTCTAATTGGGTTGGGAAGCAATGCAGACAACTGCATTTTAGAATTAAGTATAGATATAATTGAGCAAGTAGAAGGGGTATCATAGGTATACGACATTTGGAACATAGACCAATGTTGGGCGTGAAACTCCCTCTTATATTTAGAGATAGATTTTTCTAACGTATATCTTCTGTTGTCATCCTTTTTTTTAATTTTTATTTAGATTGATGACTATAATTTTTGCCTTGCTTGTAGTTTCTTGACGGATGGGTTATCTTTGCCGAGTATGCAAGACCAAGAACACCAAGGCCACCTCCTGAGAATGATGGAATTCCATCTGGACGTCCAATGTATTGAAATGGCTCAGTCAAGCAGTACTCTTTATGAATCCTAGTTCTCTATTTTACCTCAAGAGAGCTTTGATTGTTCAATACCGGAAAAAATGTACTTGTTGAGCAGTTGGTGCTAGGGACATCTGAATAGGCTGAAGGAATGCAGAAATAGCAAATGAATAGATATTGAGAAATTAGCTAAAATCTATTGATAGAACGAGGGGTGTTACATGACATGTTGCCTACTAATTGACCTTTGGAGAGATACTTGGTTTAAAATTCCTTGCGCACAAAGTGCCGAATGTCATGGGATCCTCTATTCTGATGGATTTGTTCTAAAACTTGAAATTATTTCTGGATTTGACATGAAACTTGTTTGGTTGATACTTGTGCTGAATTAGGTGTTGAACCAATTGTGGCGGTCCTAGCCCTTGTAGGAAAGGTCAGTCCGGTTCTGCTTCTCTTAACGAGGCCAATATTATTTACTTTCAAGTTTCAAAATGGGTTATTAAAGTTACACAACTACCATTTAGATCTGTCAAGTGTGGTTGTTTAGTTCCTTTGCTGTTCTTTTTATCCCTTGTGGCCTTGTCTAATTACAAATTCTTTTTCTTCTTTAATGGACCGCGATTCCTATTCTTAAGCAACTTGTTGGTTTATGAAGAGTCCTGCTTCGTATTTCAAAGAAACAAAGGAACGTGTACGAACTGATTTTCTTATACCTGAAATGAACCTGCTTAGCAAGACCCAAAAATTGGAGTTTGATGGTTCATGATCTAGAGATTCAATTGTATCGCTGGGTTGTTTGATTTACAAGATGATCCTTGCATACCAAAAACCCAGTAATATTTTTCCTTTCAGGTAGGTAACACCTAACACCTTTCGAGTTTACTGTCTATTCTATTCTATTCTATTCTAATGTGCTAGGACGACTTTGTTAAAAGGGCCTCTATACCTATTCTGAGTGTCAACTGTCAACTGCCAATGACCCAGTGGCCAGTAGCTGATATAGTCGGGAGCAAACTCATTACTCATGGAATCGCAGGCTCTCTGTTGTATGGCTAGACCCTGCTCTGAATCCATACCTAATTCTCTGTGATGCAACTTATGTTATACCAAAAAAAGTCTCGACTCCCTTGAATTTTGAATTTTTTCCATGGTTTTCTGACTGCCATTGAACCGGATGGTTGGACCGTTTGGCTTAGGAATCATCCAGGCAACTGATTCTGTTTTATCCTAAACTTAGTTTCTGGTCAGAAACCGTTGAATCGGTCAATGACCGTTGACCCGAGTGGTCGAACTGTCGATCTGTTCAATGGTTTTTAGCTATTTTTATTTTAAATTTTTTTTGTCAAAACAGTCAATCCGTTCAAATTAGATGGTTAAACTGTCAACTCGGAAACCAGTGGCTAGAATGGTTCTGGGTCCAAATCGTTTTTTAAAATATTGATTTTTTTCTATTTATAACATGGCTCCGACACGCAATAAATACGTTAAAATGTCAATAATCTCAATTTCTGGCTTTTAAACAGAAACCGTTTTTAATGTACATCTCATTCTCCATGTTTCCCCCCTTTCGTTTCTGCAATGTTATATGCTATACGGCATGGTTTTGAAAACTGAACGGGACCAGATGGTCACACCAGTTGACCTAGGAATTGGTTCCATTTCATCATAAAACTGCTCTTGTGCCAAAAACCATTGATTTGGTCAAAGACCCACTGACCCAGGTGGTCAAATTGTCAACCCAGACAATGAATTTTGATCGTTTTTCTATTTTATTTATGTTTTTTTATTTTTAATTTTTAAATCAAAATGGACCATTCATTCGAACTGGACAGTTGGACCGTTGGACCCGAGAATGGTCCCCAAAACGGTTCCATGTCCAGCACTGCTTTTAAAACCTTACTACACAGTTATTTAATCAAACCTACAAACCAAATATACAACTTTAGGATTGAATCCTATTTCCAGGGGATCAATATCCCCAAAACTAAGATGCTTCCCAAATAAACTTACCTTCTTAGAGAAAGGCCTAGTACAGTATCTTACGACCAGGGACTAGCAATGCTAATAGATGGATTGTGCCGTATATGTTTAACAGGCCTGACTGTAGCAATGCCCTTACAATCACAACCCCCAGACCGAAATCGCAGGCTAGAGATTATCTCATAATATGCAGATTAAATAAATTGCTTGAGCTCAATGGGAAACTCAACTGGACTGATTTTCCAATTTCCAGAACAGGCGTTACATTTTCAAAGAACCCTCCAAAGTCGAATTTGGGCCGGAACCATATTTCCATTTTCATTTTTATAGCATTATTGTTTTGGTTATTCCCAGTGCCACAATACTATTTTGTCCTACGTGCTTTTCCCCGGTAGAACAGACTACAGAAACAGATTTTTTTTCTTCAATCAATAAGAGAAGAAGCACGTAGGACAAATTGTGTCGTAGCATTTACAGAAACATACTTTTACGTCATAATTCCACTCAAAATCTCGCAGGGGTTCCAAAGTAGTGTCGGGAAGTTGAAGTAAGCGTAGAGCTCGAGGGAAGTCCAACCTACAAAACCACACTCGACAAACTCATTCACAGACAAAAAGCCTTCCCTACAGGCAGCATTTAGAAACAGGAATGCACCTGCACTCAATCAAACCTCTCTTCCCCAAACCCAGATTCACAACAAACCCCCTTCCTCCTCCTCTCTATCATTTGGATTGGATTATTTTTGCCTGTTGTGGGGTTCCCTCCAAGTATTCAGTTTTCATAGACATGCTCCTTAAATTGATTTGTTGGTTGTGTGTGTGTGTGGCTTGGGGAGGAGTACCGTCTAAGCGAAGGGGAAAGTTCTATGCCATGTCCCTTCATTTAATGCTTTCTTGGCATATCCATTTTCCCTCAAAACGAAACCCAGAAAATCAAGATGATCCCTTTGACTCTGTAAGAGTGTTTGTTTAATTATTAAACAAGTTGGGGTCCAGTGGGCGAAACTATCAAACTACCGGTCCCAATAAGAAAAAAAAAAAATGAAATTAAAGAGGCATTATGAACACCAAACTTAGAACCAAATCAATTTCGAATTAGTATGTGTTTTGTTATGTCAGACAAGAACGAGAATCCTATGCAACCCTCCACCCGGCCTTCCCCCAGGTGTCAGACAGTATCACACAAGCTACTTTAAAGTGTCATTTTTTTTCTTTTCTTTTTCAAATGTACTCAGTGTCTGCTTCCTGACTTGATCCACTTTTTTTCTTTTAACCTCACTGTGTGTGTGTGTGAGTGAGAGAGAGAGAGAGGGCGTTGTGGATTGAAAGAATCTGAGAACTTTTCATGGTACTGGGTACTTTTCAAGTGTGAAGATGTGTCGTTGCAGGTAATCAAAAAAGGGCAAAAAACAACCTGATCATATGAATGTAATTTTCCTAAACCTCCATGTAGAGATACAATGAGCAGACTAATAAAAGGGGATGGAATAAGATAAAATGTTCCTGTTGGAATAGAAATCAAATCAGTGGTACAGAATTGCACGAGTTATCGATTTCTTATCTTTCTTCTTATATCCCATTACTGTAAAATGAGTTCAAGTCTGACTAATCAGGACGAGAGTAGGCAGAAGAGGGTGAAGAAGACTTTTTTTTCTTCCTGGGTCGAGTTTTAAGTAATAAGCGGGACCAAACTATATACCCTTTAACCAGCTAGAGCACGTGTCTTGCTTTGGGGGTGCTGTAGCCTGCAGTGGCTACACGCTTTAGAAGCGTGTAAGTGTAGCCTTCCTCCATAAATAAATAAGAAACTAGAAAAAAGTTCAACAAACCAAGATTTGCCCATCTCGACTTGAGCCCTTGACTTGGAGATGGAGTAGGAGTACAGAGTAGTGCTTTTAGTTCAGAGCACAAGGCTAAAGTGAAGACTTTACCGGTAAGATTCTGCCATGTCTGGGGCTTCATCTTGGTTCTCACGAGTAGTCCAATGGTAGCCACTGCCTATTACTTAACATTTTCAAAGTCCATTAAGCTCTTGATCCAATGCCCAGTTGCCCACGCGGACACGCCCGGTAGTCAGTAAGAGAAAGACAATAAACAAAGTAATGAGTATATATAAAGCATTGGTAACCTATTGCAATTAGTTAAGGTCTGTTTGGTCTACAGTTTGATTGGAATTGAAACTGGTCTATTCCTATATTATGTTTGGTTCGGACAGGAATGACAATGGGAATCGGAAGATTTTATTTTTAAGAGAGAGAGAGAATGACCATTCCCTCAAATGGGAAATGACACTATTCTACCAATAATGAGGATGAAACTCTGGTTTTGTCCAATCAAACAGTTAGAATCAAATCAAAATTACCCATTCTGATTCTGATTCTAAACCCCTATTCCTATGAACCAAAACGGTACTTAATACTTTTTTTCTTTTTCTACAGAAAGTTGTTAACATTCTTATAATTGAATTGAATTTATTCTGCATGGTGCAACTAAAATGTGAAGAGGAGATATGCTCCACCACAATCAGAGTTATTTCAGTATGGCATCGCATATCACAAAGGTAATTTTAATATTATTTATTGATGTTAATGATTGAGGGGGTGCTTGACAATTTGTATATATTTCGCAGTTTTCTTATGGGCAAGGCTGTATTTGTTTTAATGTGCAAGGGGTGGAAATATGGCTGAAACATAGAGCCTAAAATACCCTACCGGAGGAAATCATAGGTTAATATGGAATTGAAATTCTTTTTACATGATTTAAATAATATATGTAAAGGGATTCAGTCAACTAATACTCAGTAGTAAAGCCAAACCCAACATAATTTGGTTTAATTTATGTTGGACTCGATCTAATTAATCATAGGCTGGGACTAAAAGATGAGAGCAAATTAGTCAAGATTCTTGTATATCAAACAAAATCTGATGGTGCGCGATCTGGTCATCCTTTCTAGCAGCGGCTGCACTCCTACCTGGCGACGGACGAGATACCTGTGAGGAAGAAGAAGGATCCCCGATGAGTTCTTTCGGCGGGAATACTCCGATGCTTAAGTTAGTAGCAGGAAGAGAGAGTTGCAGAGCAAAAATGAAAGGGCTAGAGGGCAGATCTCGCAAGTCACTTTTGCTCTTGGGGGTCGGAGCTCTTATATACTGATGTTCTGACAAATCAGGTATAACCGCCTCTGATTCTCTGTCGCAGCTATTACTTGCCAGGCTGAGCTGGTGGGTGCAAGTAACCATTGTAGAGTACGGCCCTGCCAGACAAGAGACACCTTTCAGGGTTGGCAGGCAAGACACCGCCTGGCGAGAGACGTGGGCGCAGTCTCCAGATTTGGTAGGTACGGTTGTCAGGCAGGAGATCTTCCTGTGATATGCCGAGCTGCTCTGCCCCGAGCTACCTTGTATCGAGCTACCTTGTGCTGAGGTGCTTCTACCCGAGGTGGCCTACTTGAGTTTGGACATGGGGAATTTATTCTTAGGAGGCTGCCGAGCTCAACC